AAACCAGTCGTTTTGGCGCGAACTTTTAGAGCTTCCGCGCCAACTACGCCGCACGACTGCGCTCTTCTGCTCATTTTAAAAGATGCCATCTCCTCCACATCCCAGCAAGACTAATCGCGCCTTCGAGCGAACTGAAGCCAAGGCTCGTGTAGTCCGTGCCTTCCAGGAGAACCAGAACTGGAGAGATGCTGCCAATGCCAACGACGTCAACTATTTTACGGCACGCCGAGCTATCCTTAGTGCTGGCCAAGAGCCTAAGCAGCGCGGCGGTTTGCGCCAGGCTTCTGTAAAGATGACTGTGGAGGTGATGAGCAAGATTGAAGAATATCTCGACAAAGACTGCCGTATGACGCTGGAGCAAATGTCTGACCGCTTGCAAGCCGAACTGGGCGTCACTGTGAGCAAGACATCCATTCATCGTGCTCTACAGGGCATGCTGTACTCGACGAAGCGCTTACGCATCGAGAAGGCGACCATGAACTCAGCTGCCAACAAGGAGAAGCGCAAGAACTTTGTCGTGGAGTTAAACAAGCACATTAAGAAAGGTAGCATGATTGTATTTCAAGATGAAACTAATTTTAATCTGTACCTGTCTCGAAATGAGGGCTGGTCTCGGGTTGGAAAACGTGCCGTTGTCCAACTGCCGCCTTCCAAAGGCAAGAACCTTCACATCCAAGGAGGAGTTTCAAGTGGCTCTGGTCTGGTTCTGCTGCAAACCCACGAAGGGTCCGTAAAGAAGGCTGAGAATGCAAGGCTCATGGCGGACCTCTTCATTGCTGCTCTTCGCTCCGAGGAGTACGTGGAGCTACAACCGGCCAAGGTTGTGATTGTCACGGACAACGCACCATCCCACAGCGACGTCGAGAACCTTGCTCGAGAATACTTGGCTGCCGACGGCATCATGAACCTGAACAAGCTCGAGGTACTGCGTCTGGGACCCTACAGCCCGATGCTGTACCCCATTGAGGGGTGCTGGAATTCCTTAAAGGCCAAGATGCGGCGTTTTATGGCGGAACAAAAGCAGGAGTTTCTGATGCGTGGGGAATATGACTCCTTTGCGGCACACAGATTGGCGCTGATGAAACACGCAGTGGAAGCATGCAAGGGTGTTTTTACGCGCCGACTCATCTGGCGCTACGAGAGGCACTGCCTGCGTCAGTGTTTCGCTGCAGAGAGGGGCTTCGACATGGAGCTGGGTGCGTAACTTCGAGTTTGCATTTTGCTTGGAAAGTGTACCCATCGTTTTTGCAAAAGCTGAAAAAAGCATGTTTTTGTTCACTTGAAATTTCCCTGTCTTTTTTCGTTTTGCGGCAACTTTGGCCGGGAAATGGTGTACTCAAAATTGGACAGGACAATTCCGTATACTGACCCGTTTAAGTACGAGATAAGGTGGCAAGAAAAGACTTGGTGGGTTCTACTAATGACTTGGGTTTGTATGTGGGCGATTGTCCTCCCGCTCCTCAAACAGACCCAAATCGGCAAATTTGGACGGAATTCACAATACCCTGAGTGAATTCTGTTTTGCCTCCTTTCGACACTTACATAAAAAAGCAGAATCTGCCTTTTCAGGCCTCGTGCGTAGGCAATGTAAACAGACTATAAGAACCACTGAAGTTGTACTTGCCACCCAAACTCCGCGATACGTTGTACCATACAAGACAGAGCTGCACATGTGCGATTGATGATGACCTGCTTCTTGCCAGTTGTTTACGGCACTCTTTATCGACATTCTATTAGGTATAATAGTACTGTCGTAACATACCGTAGATCTTGCTTTAAATTGTATTTATACCATCAACATCTTTATGGTAATAGAATGAGGAAATGGAGTTTGCATCAGGTTTGCCGGCGATACATATATATGTAGCTGTGCGCCTTCAAAGCTGTGTATATCGAGTCACATCGAGAGCTCACACCAAGTCGTGGCGCTTGTGAGCCCGAAGCCCTCCCCTACTTATCTTCATTTCAGTATGGAATTTCCCATCGACAAAGGATTATTCCGACCTTATGGCTTTGAAAAGGGAAACTAATGCTGAACAAGGTAATAAATGGG